GCCAACGATGCGAGGCAAAAGCCAAGCTAAACGCTTAGAAGCCCCTTGTCGCCCAATTCCCCTTTATATTTCCCAGTCCCCAGGAACACACATCCGCCGCAGTCCATCCTGGCAAGTTTCTTGCGGCAGCGACAACTGGCAACCTGCAACTTGCAACTGGCGAGCAGCAACCAGCAACTTGCATCTACTAACAGCACTTAAAAAAAAATCGTGCTGCATAGATAAAGAAAAATTATTTTGAGACGGTATAAAAATCCGTATCAATGATTTTCAATTATTATATACTTTTTTGATTTTTTAAAATATTGTAAAAGATCTATTAAATATAAAAATAACATTAGATACTTGCAGTCCTAATAGTAAACCAATTTTAACAACACTTGATTCTATGTATTTATTTAACTTATGAACTAAAATAAAATGAAAACAATTAGCAGATAGTTTCATTATCTAAGCAGATGTTGATATTTTGAATTATTTTAAAAAGAAAATATAGACAAGTGGTAATTGTTTAAAAAAGTATTATTTTATTTTTACGATCTTATAACATTGATCTATATTTAATATTTTCTTTCCGTGTATCAATTGGCAACTTGCACTGGCTGCATCGACTGAAACCGAAGCCGGTTTCGGGTGTGTTAACTTTCTATGCCCGGTAGCGCTGATTGCCAAGACAACGACAGCCCAATTCATTCAGCGGTCTCGCCTTTCAGCGGCAGCAGCTGCTCGAGGTTCTTTAAGCCACTTCCTCCCCTTTGTTGCCGCTTTTGTGCTCTTGGCCGACCATGCAAAGCATGGCCAGAATCTCGAATCTCTGCAGGCCATTCCAGTTCGATTTATCACGGGCAAAGTTATGATCGCTTAAGTGCCGCCGTTTAGGGTTCCTGTTTTAGCCTCTTCAATTGCTCCTCATAAATTCATCCCATGACAACACTAATTGCAACTTGCTGCGAGTAATAATGGGTTGGGTTTAATTTTAGCTACTTATGCTGCCATAAATCCAATTGGCTTATAAAGATCTGGATTTTCTTATCGCTGAATATTTAATATAACCAAAGGCAATGGCATTTCACTGAATTTTAAGGGCACTGAAATATATTGCTTAAATCTTTCTCGACTGAAATAAGGTATCAGCAACTTTTGCAGTGGGGAATATAAACAGTTTGATTTACCACAACTTAGAAATACAAAGCTTATTTACATTTACCATAAATCATCATTGCTGTAGCCTAATACATCAACCGAGCTTATAATCAAATTCACATAAACTAACTGATGAAACACTAAAATCGTAATTGTTCTTTCGTTGACACTTTCGGCAACTATCAAAAACATATCGTTGGATAAGCGTATTTGGGAGCCCATAATTGTAGGCAAATTAGGATTATTCATTCAACAAAACCATTTTTGATTGCCATCCATGCTGGGTTTGTAATTCATAATCGATGCTTGGTATGCTGGTCGCATAAAGCCGAAATAAAACCACAAAATAATGTACACAATTGTGTATGTGCAGAGTGAAAAGATCGTTTCCATGCTTTGGCTGTGACGGAAGTCTGGCCCCACCGCATAGGAACCAAATATATATGTAGAAACCCGCAACTCTTTCAAAAAGAGGCCATAAATATTGTTCATTTGTAAATAAATGGCTAACAAAAAAAGGGGAAAAACTACGAATAGTAAAAAGAACAACAACTCACAGAGCATATAAAACATTGTTCATGTTCATTTCCAGTACTTGGTTTTCTATTTCCTAGGCAAACATTCGATGGTGCTCATGTCGCTGCGTGTGTTTCTATTTTTTATTACAGTATCATCTTCCGGTCACTTTGTCAGGCCTCCACTACATTTCTCAAACAGTTACGACGAGACAAGTGGCCCCAGCGCGTGTGCCTAGTTGGGATCAAACTTGAATTATGAAAACCAGAAACGGAGTCCAAGAAGTAATAGAACCACCACCGATAAACGGAAGTTGGATAGACAATGTAGAAGCATGGATGGTTGCCATCTAGGGGCTACACTGAAAGTTATGAGTTCAGAATTTCGACAGCTTTCGGAGACAATTTTTAAAAGATTTTAAATCTACGTATATGGCGAAATAAATATAAATAAATATTGCAGCACTTGATATCACATCTTGATATATTTTCTCCAAACCAAAATATTTTGTGATATTTAAACGGTTACTAAAAAAACCTTAGGCCAAAAAGTATAGTCATACATAATAGTCTCTATATGTCTTGGCAATCTTTTAATATTTTCATAAATCCCATTCAAAATTCTCTTTAATGAATTTATTTAATTTCTTTGACTAATACTATTATATCAAGGAATTGCAGTTTCAATAGCTACCCCTTCCTATTTCAAGAAACCCAATACAACTCCTTCACCTCTTACCAGTAAACACCGTTGACCAACATCGCCACCGCCACTTAAAAGCAGTTCGCGCGACTGAACTCAGTTCAGTGGCACTGGAAGTGGAAGTGCCGCCGCCCAGAGCACTATGGGGAAAATGACCACTTTATCTGGCATTTATTATTGTGAGTAAACCAAAAGAGATTTTTCACTGCGGTTTTTTTTATTATGTTGTTATAGACCATAAGAACCTATTTTAGAAAAATGGGCGTGTCAACGCCCCTTTTGCCCAAAAAATCGAAAAAATAATATTTTACATGCATTTTTAGATATTAACTTTTCAAATTCAGTAACCTCTACGTGCTTACGTTGTAGATAGGAGTTTCGCCACGCCCCCTCCCGCCCTAAAAATTGTGAAAACCCAGTTTTTAATTAATTTTCTTTATTTTCATCATTTTCTTCATTTTCCAGCTCGAAGTTTTCAAGAAAAAATAGACTGTTGTCTTCAAGCTCATCTTGTTCTGAAAAATCACTTATGTATTCGTGCTCACACGAGAGCAGCTGGATAACCTCAATGGGAAAAGAAAGATTTTTATGTTTTTTTATGCGTCGCGGTAAATTTAGGGAAGAAATCACTGGATCTGATGTATCCAAAGCTCGTTTAAACACATCGCCTCTGCAGAGGAGCCCCCTTTGGCTCGGAGTGACCGGCCCCAGAGCCTCCAAGAGACCGTACCACTAACACCCCACCCAACACCGACTTTCCACACATTTCCCAACCCACTTCACCACCCACCTACACACGCACTCGCCGCAGCGCGTTGCGCTTTGAATATAAATTACACAAATAGTGCACAAGACTTTGATGGCTGCAGCCGACGACATTGAACGCTGCACAGTGGATCGGGAAAGTAATAAATAGTTTAGGAAATATATCAAAATTAATAAAAGGCATGAGAATAAAAATGAGATATTATTTATCCTGTTAATACAAATTCAAAAAGTAAATATGGTTAATTTACCAGGATAAAAGTTTTTATAAACTTCAAAGTAAAAAAAAAAATTATTTTAGGTTAAGTTCAAACGAATAATATATAAAAAGGATACAAATTTGAAACCATGATATTTCCCCAATTTCTTATTAAAGACTAAAAGTACTTGCGGGCATATATTTTCTTTTAAATACTTGGGGCTTTCGACATTTTTATTGAACAATAATTTATTTTGTATTATGTGTAATCTATTTTTTTTTAAGGTTATTACAAAGTTATATGTCCTTTATTATATTGTATATATTCTTTTTAAAGGTTCTCACAGAATAATTTATCATGTATTATTTTGTATCTTTTCTTTTTTAGGGTTATTAACTTTCACATGTTAATAACTTAATGATTTTTTATAACTAATAGTTAATAAATAAAGCGTTTTACATGCTTAAAAAACATGTTTAGGAAGTTGGTGTATTTGTATTTAAGCAATGGAATGTAAAGCCAATCCTAGTTTATTATTTTTTTTTTAGTTAAAGAAAATTATAGAAATATTCTGTAGACACCCTAAGGACCACTGTGCAGCTGGGCTGTCAGAAGCGCTGGTCATGTCACCGTTGCCCTTTGATGCTAATGACTCTGCCATCGCCTTAAAACCGGGGAATCGGCTTCGATGGGGGGCTCACAGTGGTAGGAACTTAGCGAGCAATCAAAAACCGTGCTGCAGCAAATTGGCATGCGTGATGTAGATGAATGGAGATGCAGCTTGCCGCTTGCAGCGTGCAACTTGCAGCTTACAGCTTTTGCAGCGGGGAATGTTTTAGAATGGAGTTTCTGGGCGGGGGCGGAGATATGTGGGACAAGTGATTTCCGCAACGCTTTCTGGATCGCGGCAAGCGGTTGCGTTGATTGATTGATTAATTGACAAAGGAATTGCCGTTAGTTTTCCATTTCCACTCGCATTTGCATTTGCATATCTAATTTATGAACGGCCCAAGTCTTGTCCGCCCGTACTATATGTAGTTCATTGTGTTAGCTATGCAAATGCCGTACTTCCGCTGCGAGCGTCTGCCCAGCGCAGCTTAATTATTCATTAATTTCAACTTAAATTCCATATTTGCGCCTGCAGCCATTTGTGGCCCAGTTTCGATGGCCTGCAGGGGCTCTTGTCCATCCGCAGGCTTTTGTCACCATAAAACTGAAGTGTTGCCCGATTATGAAATAATTATAAGCATTCTGCACGCCATAACCGGTGATTTAGTTGGTGTTTGTGCTTGGGCTCTATATCGGATTTTCAGTGAGAGTTCAATGTGTCTGTTGTTCGCCTGCACTAGTCACAAAACATTTTTCACCAATAAGATATTTAAATTATACTGACTTTATTGTACTTAATATGTAAAATATATTAACGGAATTTTTTAATTTCGAAGATTTTTGAGTATATTTTATTACTAGTCAAAAAAAAGAATAACAATTTTTGCTTGGTTGCTTTTTATACATTTTTAAATACATTTACAATTTTAAAATATAATCAATTTTTTTAAAAATTCATAGTCTGTTTAAGGTTTGAAAATGCTATTATGCAGGCTAGTCAAGTTGATCCCGATATGCTATTAATTAGTTTTGCTTAGAGCTCTGCGCATATCGGGCATCTAGTTGCCTTGTGCCATTGTGTTCTAATCCCCATAGAAATGAGGCAATTTTCGAGCCTCACTCTACCCGAAATTTGAACCCGGTGGCATCTACATATGTAAATTCTGAAAATCGGTAAAGCAGGACCCACCTGCCTCCTTCAACCGCCTCGACCTTCATTTCTCGTGGAGGAGCTGCAACATGCCTTGCATATTCAATCCCGGTTACATTGGACCCGATCCGCCCTGCTGTGACCCGGATTGCCTGGAGGAGGGCCACTGCACGGTTCCGGAGTGCGGGGTCTGTCCGGAATCCCAGCTACCCCGTTGCAATCCCGCCCCGGAGCCAAAAAAGAAGGCGGAGCAGACGGCACCGGAACAGAAGCCCCAGAAGGAGCAGAAGTGAAGAAAGGAGGCGGAGTAATGGAGAGCTCTAAGCAAAAGATCCCTCCTCCTTTGAAGGAATGTCCCACGCCCACCCAGACAAAACTTTTTCCGACTTTTGGCTAATATACAATAATCCCTTTGATAAGTGAACAACCGAATGGGTTTAATTAAAACTGTTTAGTAATTATCTACTACAGCCAGTGTACATTTTATTTTTTCTGGGTTGTCATTGTTTTTTAAGATTTTATGCATCACAACGATGTACCTTTTTTATATCGTTACTTTGAACTTGTAGACTGTCAACCTTTGAAAGGAAATAAAATAAGCCAATGAATAATTTTTTGACTTTTTTTTGCCAATTTGGATTAATAGTTGAGTTAACATCAGAAAATCAGTTTTTATTGATCGTTTTTAAAGCTGCACATGTGCTTACTACCTACTAATAATACCACCACATTCACTAAAAAGTTTAAAACAACATGTTTGTATATATTTATGCAAATTATAATGGTATTAATTATTATTTGACTGACATGCTTAATAAATACGTTTAGTACTCACTCTTATGTATATGAAACCACTAAAATGCAATGTGCAACAGAGACAAAAATGTGTAAATAATAATTTTAAATCAGTATGCTTGATTTAAGTGTCAACAAAACAGTGGATTTAAACATCGATTTATTTAGTTCAAGTTCAAACACCAAACGTGTCGTTTAAGTAAAATATTTGTTTATATTTTTGCTTTTCTTCTTGAACTCTTTGGTAAGTTGTGTGGTGCTAGAATATGTGAAATTTATTAAAACCTAGGTTTTTCAGACTCTTGTGGAGTGTTCAAAATGGTCTATTTAAGTCGCCCTTGGACCCCTGCCATGAATCCTTTCTACATTGGCCCTTATCCGAGATGCGCCGTTTGTCCGTGTGACTTTGACATTTATAAAGGATATACACCCGGTGGCTGGCATAGTCAATGTTATCACAGCTATTAATAATGAACCCCTGCTAAAGAATCAAACAAGAAGTCAAGAAGAAACAGCTTTAATAAATGTGAAAAATAACAAAAATGAAAAACAAATATAATAGATTTACACTTCTAACAAAGTAGCTTTTAATGTTGGGAAACAATCTGTAATCGGACTGGTTTAAGGCTTTTAATACCAAGTCATGGGATTTTTATTTTATCAATACATATCACATTCTTTGGGAGTATAAACGGTTTCCAAATTCAAAATTTTAAATATACGTCTGTGGATCTCGGTGCACCATATGCACCCATATGCTGGCCCCCAACCTGTGATCATCCTGCAAGAGTCCTTCCTCGATTATTACAAGTGGCGAAGCCCATGATCTATGTGTGTGATTATGATAATGATGATCCGTAAAATAGTCATGATCGTGAACGATCCAAAGCCGGAGCACCACGGCGAACAGGAGACGGTGGTCAGTTCGGATAATCTCAACGGCCTGTTAGGTGGATTATCGCGGACCATTCGGAACCTAGTCCGTTCAACGTACGTATACCATCTCAACGCTGGCCGACTAGCTGGAGTGAGTAGTCCACGAGCTAGCTGTCATCCTGGTCGATTGAAAAATCCGAGATCGATCCTCCTGATCCTCCAGAAGATCCAGCTGCAGCTGCTCCTCCTCCGGAGCCATGGAAACAGTGCACACGGCCATCGGGGTGACGAGCGTAGTGGCCATGCTGTTGGTGGTTACCCACTCGCTAAAGCAGTTGGGTGGCCGGGTGCTGGAACAAACCCGTGAACCGATCTCCGACCTTGTGACCCGGGGCGGTCCTGTGGCCGATCAGCTGACGGCCGTGGAGGGAGAAACTCCCTTGGTCGAAGGAGATCGCATGGATGGGGCCTGTTCCGTGGTCCAAAGTATTGGAGGCAAGGCATGTGCCTTGGTGGGTCCTCTGCTGCCCAGATTGGGGAGCGATCGCAAGTCCAGGGACTCCTCGCCAGAGGAGGAAAAGGCCAAAAAGGACTCGGAGCAGGCAGCTGGGAAACGGGAAACACCGCCTGCGGCAGATCCACCGGAAGAGGAGTAAAATCCAGCCAGCGAAGGAAATCAGTAGGCTTTGATATTCAAATTTTAGTAGTCTCAAGTAGGCCTTGGGCTGAAACTTCACCTTTTTTGTCGGCTTTGTGTGATTCGAAACCAACAGAGCTCATTCACTTTCAACAGCTTCGACTGAACACATCTCACTTGTGAAATAAAATTAAATATGAAAATTTGAACAAAATTCTAAATTTATAGCCAAGGACTAACTTCAGCATATTTCTTCAGCAGCAAATAATCAAAGTAAGTTTTGGGAAGTTGTGCACTAAACTCGCACAAATCGAAATAGTTACGAAGCGAAAATCTACATACAAAACTTAGATAAAGAAAAAGTTCTTCCGGAATATAAGAACATAAGGCTTTAGTTCATCGGTCGGCATCGTTACGATGAGCGGGCATAGTGCCGCAACACGTACAGTGTACAACGGTCGGCACACGTTCATATATGATCTCTTCGGTCTCAATTGAAACATTTTTTTAATCTTTTGTTCCTTGCAGCTGTGGCATTTGAGCTCTAGCTGCATATACTAGAAGTGGTTCGCGGGTCTCCTCAGGCAAATCCAAAACTTTCAAGATGGTTCTGATGCTCTGCTGCAGTTTCGATCCCTTCTATGTGGGACCCTGCCCACCCGGCTGCCTGGCTCCTCTGATGGGAGGAACTCCATACTGTGGTTGTGGTCCCTGTGGTGGCTGCAGTCCCTGCTGTGGTTGTGGTCCCTGTGGTGGTTGCAGCTCGTGTCCTTGCGGCTGGTAAGCTGCTTTTCGAGAACGGAAGCTAAGATATTGGTCTCTGATCACAGGTAAGTTAAAGAAACGTTTGAAATTAATTACAATACTTAATATCATATCACAGATCCGATAGCAAGCGGTAAAAAGCCAGAGATCAAGCCTTTACGCATCGCCGACTGCTGAAGAGATATGTTGCTGTTTGAAATCCTTTCCTTGGCGGGGGCTTAAACACCCAAGCTCTCCTAAATTTTATGAATTCGGTTTTTGCTGTTCAGAAATAAAATGGACTAATATAAAAAATTTACTTAAAGATTTTTTTAAAAAGGGGGAACTGCATAAATCGCCTGCGCAGGATTGCAGCGTTTATATTAAGGCACATGAATAAACAATTAAAATTAATTATACCCCTAGTTATTTTGGGAAAAATATTTAAAATCGGATAACCCCCGGCATCTGCGAACAAACAAGGCAGCGGGTTTATGACAATGTAAACAGCGGTGGCCAGCCTCCAGTCATTCGGTGTTGAGCCTGCAAAAGGACCTAACGCCCATAAGGATGCACATGTTGTCCTAGGTAAGGGACTTGCCTAGAACAGCTGTTTGGCCACGAGTATTACTGCGCAGAAGCGCTTCGAACTCGAACTCGAACCGAAACATAGAATGTGGAGCATTGTGCCAGGTCAAAGATTTTTGGGGACTGTGCCGCCCGCTTCTCCTATGCCATCTGAAAATGAAACCGAAACCGATTCTGATGCTTCCTGATGCTATGTTTTGTTTAGGCTAAGCGCGATTTATAGCGCCGTCTCTGAGGTCTGAGGTATCCCTGTGTGTGTTATGCTTCCTTGAGGTTTCCGAGGAGTGTGATTCCCATTCCTCGGCATGAGTGTGCGTTGGCCATTTCACTCTCATTTTGGCATCGCTTGCGTTGTTTTTCCCGCGGAATTTATTGCGGTAGGTCGGAATTTTCATTGCTTTGCCACGGCCCGTCCTCCCGAAAGGACCTTCCTTTTTCTGGGTTTCCCCGGGCTTCCTGCGAGTATGAGTGTATGGCTGCTTGCCATGTTTTATGGCCAAAGTTGGATGCCTTCTTATATTTGACTTTTAGTTTTTGAGCTGAAACTTTCCGACTGCATTGTCGTGTTCCCCATGAGGATGTTGCACTTCGGATAAGTTTCTTTCTTTTACGTAGTGTTATGGTGGAGCAACAGTTTCTCCAGGTGCTACTCTAAAGTTTATGCATTTAGCAGCAGAAAATACACTTCTGATTGCAGTTTTCAGAGATGCCAAGTGCTATATTTTAGCACTGCTTTCAATAATTAAATATTTTTCATTTTATCAAACTGAGCTCTACCATTTAGGGTTTTATACTACTATTAAAGCAACTTAGGAATCACAAAGTAACATTTTTTAGAAATAATTTTTCTTGGTATGAATATTTTTATTACATACACTCAGTTTCTGTTAAGGAACTTAAGAAGCTCTTCTGCCTTGCCCTAGGCTTACATGTAAACTCGATGATATTCAGGTGAGTAAATACCGCACATTGGGCACTTTGACGTAGCACTAAGGACACGTAAAAAGCAGCGCTTGCAGAAAATGTGGCCACATGTGGTGGACACCGGTGCGTTTCGACGCACATCTTCCAGGCAAACGGGACAGTGGTAGGGCTCGGTGGTGGTGGAGCTCGCGTCCTCTACGGCCACGTATTTGACCCGTTTGATCGGCGGACCGACTCTAGAATTCTTGCTTATCGGAATTCGTCCACAACCTCCACGTCTTCCCGTTGATGTTGAGGGTTCGTTGGAGTCCAGACTGCTCGGGCTTGAGCTTGAAACCGTTGTATAGGAGACTATACAACGTCTTGGACGGAACGACGGTTCGGGATCGGTGGTGCTCGATGAATCCGAGCTAGAGACTGAATCATTGCTCGATGAGGATGAGCTTGATGAAGAACTGCTTGATGAAGAATCCCTTGGAAGATTCCAGTGGACGCAGCGTTTTGGTTTATCCCCCATTTGAGAATGCTTCTGCCTTAAAGAGTGTTAGTGTTATCCAAGGTTTATTGGATTTTAACTTACAATGAATGCACGGGCTTCTAAAAAGAAATGGGTCCTATTCGATGCGCTTAATTTTCGGGGTTCAGAAAACAGCTGTCAAGACAAAAGTGACATCCACGTGATTGTCGAGCATTCCTAAAAGCTGGTATATAATAGCAATTACCATACGGCCACACTGTCAACATTCCAATAAGGGATGTCTATATATTACGTATTATTTGATCTCAGCCAAAAGGTTTCTGTTCTGAAACAAATAAATTTTCCGTTTGAAAAATAACTACATGGGTGGGAAAAACCAGATAAACATGTCAAAGTTATGATTAAATTAGAGGGTGTATACCATTATGTTTGCGTTTTTGGAAGCTCTCTCCAGTGTGTAAACATTTGTTAAAGCCAAAAATTAATTTGTTTCACAACAGTAACCTTTTGCCTGACAGCAAGGATTTACGTAATATTTGGAGAGCCCCCTAACTAACTTGCGTAAAATAACTTTAAGTTTTCAATAAATATTTTTTTATTTCAGACATCTTTTTGGAATATCTAAAAATTGTGGTAACAAATAAGGATTTTAAATTATTTGAGTGAAGTCAATGCGTACTATGAACATTTTAAAATATCGGGGACTTTTAATTTGGAACGCATACTGGTCTTAGACAGGCTCCAGAGTGAAAAGTGAAAAGCTTTTTAAGGTTGTAAAGAACAAATGTTTCAGTTTAAGAAAAAATCGTTTGATATCGCTTAGTTATAGCATGATATTGCTACCTTTTACACCAGAAGTGCTATAAATAAGAGTTTAGTTATCTGTTTCATGGATGTAATGAACTGGACAGCATCTTTACCTGATTCAAATGCGTTGGGAATATTGGCTAGATAAAAATATTCGGTTATTAAGACGTATAGTTCGATAAGTCTTGGAAAAATTAATTTTTAAAGGAGTAGAGATAAATTTTCTATTACGTATATATGGGTCGAGGATTGAAAGGATTTATTGAGTTTATTTCTCCCAAATGAGACTATTTTAGTTTATATTTAAGTACCCAAAAAATCTCGGTTAAATTCGACCATTGGATGTGCCAGAAATTATTGGTGTCTTATCATTTTGAGAAGATTGTGAATGGGCTAAAAAGTGAAAATTATTTCTGGTCCTAAATGACAGGATCAATGACCAAGGGGTCATTTTTGTATACCCACAAAACTTGGCTCCATCTGTCTGTATTAAAATTTTTCTCTATATTGTATCGTAACAAATTTGACGACAGTTAACTTAAAAAATGTCTTAGTGGCTAATAACTTTTATAAGATAATTATTTTTAATAAACATAAAAATCATCACAAAGTGTGTTTTGTAATAGGAAAAAAGCTTTGCTTAAACTTTAAAAAAAATTAAATTAGCCCATAAGGAATGAAATTCAAAGATCGGCAGTACGGACTCAAAAACATAGAATCGCCGAAGTACTTGCAACATGTTGCAAGTGCCACTCGGATTGCTTCGAGCCGTTGGAAGCTCGAGCCGCGTTCTCGACTTCGGATTTAACTTTCAGCGCGCTTTCGGCCGACTTCAGTATTCGTTTGCTTTGCTTTTCGGAAAGTACGGTTTGCTATTCGATTTTGTTTAATCCGCCCCAGTGTTTTTAACGTACTTCAACCGTTGGATTTGCCGCAGTTAAGCTGGCAGATAAGCTGGGAACTTGGCCACAAATCAGGACCAAATCCCGGGTCCCTAACTCAACCTAATTGAATTCGGGCAAGTTAATTGGCAGCCAAAGTGTTGCCGTCGTAATGATGCTGCCATTCATCTGGCATTTAACTTAATTCCGTTTCGCTGATCGCATAGCTGTGCAAAAGTCTGTAATATTTGATTAATGCGCGGTACCCAAAAAAATAAAACAGAAGCCGGGAAAATCAACAGAAAGTACGGTTCATTTGCTAAATACACGGGGACCATTCCAATTTTCCCACTCAATTTTAGTGTTTGTGGATTGTGTGTGTGTGTGTGTGCCCAGTGAGTGAGAGTGTGTGGAGAATTTCATTTATTGGCAGCCAGCAACTGATTTGAATATTCACTCACACACACACCCGCCAGGATCTCCGCTGCCAAAATACTAGACCAGATTGTGGCTTCTCCTGTAAGCCAGTGTGTTGGTGTGAGTGCTGCATGATTTATAGGTCCTGCAGCAGGCGTGATGTAAAGTGACAATTTCTGGTAATTTTCGATTTACATGCCGTTGCGCATTGGGTAAGTTTGACACAGGATCCCTGAATTTTATTTACAATGTTTAGATTACATTTCCTGGAATTAAATTCATTCGAAAATGTATTTTTTTGGATTTGTGGAAAAGGAGGTCAAGCCAGCCCTTGATATTACCAAAGCTATAGCAAGAATTTGTAAAATACAACTATAATTTAAGGTTCACAACTGAGATGTAGTGCTCCCCAATAAGTTATAAATTTACAATTTGTTTTTGTTTTTAACTTAGGTCACACATTTTGTCAATTGTGCGATAAAAAATATATCATCGCACATAATTTATATAATCGTATATTGTAAATATAAAATTGGACAAGTCCTAGTTAAAGGAAGTTATATTTTTTCATTAAAGTAGATCATGACAAGCTTATATTTACTAAATTAAAAATAGGTTACTAAATTACAAATTGATTAAAAACGGTATAGTAATCCCTTAATTATTCTAATTAATTATCTTTGTTCTTTAAAACTTATTTTTGCCATATTGACTAGCATTGTTTTTATTATTACTTATTACGAATTTATTAAAACACCAATAATTGGTTTAATAAATGAAAAGCTTTTATAAATTGTGTCAATGGATTTGTGTTTATCACGACAAAACTGTTATTTATTTTCCTTTTTCAAGGCGCAAACAACTTTTCACCACATGAGTAGTAGCCTCTCAGTTGCGATTAATTTACACCTGCTCGAATGACTTGACAATCAGAAACCGCAAAGTGAACACTACCTCGGACTCGCGACAATATCAGTTCGCTTTTACTTCCGCTCTTAGATGGTTTCCATTTAAAGTGGTTTCCTCGAAAAATGTTATTTGCCTAGAAGCTAAAAATAAGTAAAATAAATAAATGGTAAATTACTGTCCTAGAATCGATTTCCAATTTCCTTCGTCTCGAACATAAATTAGCTTCCATAAATATCGCGACATTAGGAAAATTTTATTGGTTTCGGACGGCCGAGGATGATATTAATGGGTGCCGTTAATATTTAATCGTCGACAACAGGTTTGCCAAGTGATAAGAGCGGAAAGTATTTCCAAAAATTAAATTATCCATCTAGATCTTTCAACAGAAGCCGAATTGAAAACTTTTGCCAAACTGCACCTGTGTCTTAGAATTTTTTAATAAAATCTCCCGAAGATGTGGTGAACTCAACAAAGCCATTCGTCATGCTCAAGTAACTTGGGTTTTCGACTTTTGGGTTATTTTGCCCATTCACATATTTTTTGCTGGTCAGCCAACCAGTTTGGCAACATAATTATGCATCCAGGCATGCAGCTGGGAACACCGACGGTCGCCAAAAGGGTTGAAAGAACCCTTTCTTCCTTCAATGTGTGTAGGAACATTTAAATTTGGGTCGCTTGCGGCCGAAACAAATTGTAATTAAAATATGAAATTTCCATGCAGCCATACAAAATTTCACTTTTCATCTTAATCATAATAATCGCAAAAAAAAATTTGTATTTATATGAAACAAAGCCGAACTTATTTTCACTTTCGCGACGTCCTTGATGGGTTAAAGAGTCCTGGCAGTTGGAAATTATCGTCATCAGCCGCAGGATTCCAAAACCACCATCATTATCGTCTGCTGGTCTGCTTTGCATAATTTCAGCCATAAACTCTCGTTTTTTGTGCGCATAATCCGCAGCTTTGATGACAGGGAAATAGCAAAAAAGTACAAAATAATATGGAGTGTGGGCGAAAAGGTGTCATATACGTATACCACACACTCCAACGAGTGGGTTTTGCTAAATGTTCGAAAAATGAAGCGTTGAAAAGTTGGTCGCGTTACGCATACGCCGCGTTGTGCGCCAAGTGGGGGGGGGGATTACGCCAGGACGCTCATATAGTTAATGACATGCAGCTGGTGTGTTACTTGAGGTTTCTGCCTGACGCCTTTAAGACCCTCAGTGAATTTTCCCCCCCTGGCCCTGCTGACAAACTTATGAATTTTAAGGTGATTTCCATGTCGCAGGACCAAGTTCACGAAACTTTGGCATGGTTATCCTTCAGGAATTCGGGGCAGAAAGGACCCTTCACATCGGGGACTTGTCAGCAAAGGGTTGATCGCATCATAAATCAAACGAACTGCTTGCCCCGTTCGCAATCAAAATCATTCTGCGGTCTCCAGCATTTGGTCCTTCGAAAATGGTAATTAATCATCGAAAATAATTGGTTTTCTGTTTTGATTTGACATTTGAAAAATTGCAGCTGTGACAATTCAATCCCGGTTCCGTTTATTTGCACACTTTGCTGGTTTTTCAGTGCACAATGATGCAAAACAAACGCAAAAGTTTATTTTCCTTATTTTTTGCCAAAGTAAAACGGTGACCTATGCAAATGTATGAATGCAAATTGAATATAAACGAATGCATAAATGCGGCTTAAAAAATATTGGCCCGCAATATTGGCGAACAATGGGATTAACTTGACTAAAAGGTCGAGAGTGTCCTTGAAGTTTATATTTATTGCACGGATATTGATTGGCTAAAATGCCGTAACTCCGGCTTTAATGGAATTATGTTGCTAAATTAACGAGTACAAATTGAATACATTCCGTTTGCGCTTTCTGAAATTGGTTTATGAGTTCAGTCGTTTATTAAACTTTTGAAACAAACCAAATAAACTCAGAAATTAAACTAAGACGCAAATAAGTTTGTGAGGAACAGCCGAGATGGCGGCACTTAAAACTTCTCAAATGCAAATAACACCCAGGCGAGTTTCTTGACAATAAAAAATTATTAAAAAAGCGTTAAAGTCTTTAAAGGGAATTATGCCCCACAGAAGCAGACATAAACTCAACTTTGTGCTTCTTTTTCGGGAGGCACTTCAAAAGGAATAAAACGAAGGCACTGAAATATCCTCACAAAAAATACACACAAATTCTCAGTCTTCGGTGACTTTATTTTGTTTGCCAAGTCTGAAAGTGGCTCTCGTGGTTCGTATTTGTGTTTTGTTTCAGCGTTTTTTTGTGATGAGAGACCCACTGCTAACTCAATAACACAATTTATGATATATTTTTCAAGTGGGGTCGTCGAGAACAGAAGCATCGCAAACCGAGTGTGTTTGCTTTCAAATTCAAGTTTATTTTTGGAGTTTACGAGTGGGGAAGAAAAGAGTTGATGATGATTGAAATGCGTTTAATAACAAAAGAACCAAGGGAATTAATTGTATTCAAAAAGAAAAAATCAATTAGAAGTATTTAACAAGAAAGAAAAATGGTAGAATTTTTGTTTTCATTTTTTTGTTTAATGTTTTGTTTGTTTTTTTTTTAAATCAAAATTGTTTTTGCAGAATTCACTTTTAATACTTTATTTCACCCAGGAAATCTCGTATTCGTTGCTTCTCGAGTTCAGGATATTTATTCTGTTTATCACGTGCTTCTTATATTTTACTTCTCAATTAAATACCATTTTTCCCATCATGAATGCGCATTTTTGCCGCTGCTGCACATAAATATTTATGGGGGACTTAATCAAAGGGAAAAACACTGGAGGCTTATGCCAGAAATCGTCCTTTCAGGCCCCAGACTCTTTTCATTTCGTCTGTTCTATTTGCCCCAGATCAACTCATTTCTGTTTATTTAAACATTAAATGTGCTTACATTTGATTAGCAGCCCAAGCTTAATTCCATATCAATGTGCCTCGTCAGATCTGTTTGGTCCAAAGCCATATAAAATTTATGGGCTTTCCTTGCCTTTAATTTGTTTGCATTTTTATTTTACTTTTTTGTGTGGCTTGTGTAATTTTCCCTTTTCGGTTTTGAGCTCATTACAATTTCTTTTGGGTTACGGTAGGCGTCTTTTATGTGGGCAGTCGCATTAAAATGCATGAAATGCGCAATTAAAAACGAGGACAAAGTCTCTTTGTAGGTGGCAACGGGATACAATTTCCTTTTAATTAAATATGTGAGGGCATTTCATATTTAAGCACATATCGATGCTTAATTAAAAGCACTTTGTGTGTTCGGCCCATTACGCAAAAAAGGGTTTTATCACTCGACGAAAAAAGTGGGTGCTTGTGATTTTTGATGTATACTTTAAAAAGTAAACAGTTTGAAGGGCAATCTGCCACTGGGATTTCTGCTGTTCGGGCTTTTTCCCGCGGCTCATCGGTGACAAGTGGCACTGAACCGTTGTCAGCTCGTTGTCCAAATGACAAATGGGTGCATTTGCCTTTTGTCAGGCGGCATCGCCATCGATATGGCATCGAAGTCGCGTCGAACGGCAATAAAAATAAACTGTTCCAGCAACGAAACCGAAAACAAATCGCCTTTTTACCCCGCTCCTTGGATCTGTGGCCACACACCACGATGAGCAGCCGAGTGTAAAAGTATGCGAATAACTTGGCATATTTATTTATATTCCGCGACCCGCCAAAGATTGTCAACATGGATCAATGCGATGCCAACTTTCAACTGGCTTTGTCATCGGGCTGTAACCCGGGGTTATGTAACCGCTGCCAAATAAACATAAAACACAATGTATTGTAGCTTAAAGTATCATATTTCCCCCTCATATTCATAATATTATCGGGATTATAGCTGGAAATGGGTATCAGAAACAACAAGGCGACAAATCAGGCCATGAGAAATTCTGTTTCCAGTTCATTTGGCCCTCGTTCGCCGGCAATGAGGTTAAATGGTTCAGGAACATAACAATTGCAGACATGATTGAGCCATTAAAGTGGGTGTAGATGGGTAAACGGCAGAGGTTAGGCTAAACATCCTTTAAACTGTACCGTCTGCATATCTAACGTCACAAAAAATGGTAGTTTGTAGGGTATTGTAATCTTTGTGAAGTTTTCAGCAATATTGCCTTGAAATCTATTGGTTTTCAATCTCTTTGAAACCAAAATTGGGATAGCTGTTTTTATTTATTTGTTTAGCCAATGCAGCTTATTAAAACATTTTTGATTGCACATGTATTGACCAAAGACCACGAATTCAATAAAGTTCCCCTTCGGAAAATATATTTACAAAACATTTCC